GCCGAGGGTCGGGCACGAGCACTCGAAGCACTTTGGAGTTCACACAGACAACACTTGGTCACACGCGGGTCGGAGGGCGCTCTGCAGGAGCTCGCGTCCCCATGCCGTTGCGCCGCGGCACGAGTCCCCACTGGCGAGGAGCCGCGAGCGGGCGCAGGCGGCCGAGTCCGCTACTTGTCCTGACGGGCGTCGCGGCGCGGGTGCGTTATGGGCGCATGGTGCTGAGTCACGGCGGAGGGTCAGTGCTCCCTGCCGGCACGTTGCCAGCGCGACCCGCCAAGGTCAGTGTCAGCCCGAGCCGGACGCAAGGTCACTTCCTGGATGTTGCACACGACGGCGGCCGCGGCGGCGTCACGGCTACACTGGCGCCCGGTCGCTGCGCCCCCAGACTTTCTAGCGCCAGCACTCGGGGCTCCTCCCTCCGATCCAGTCTCGCCCGAAGCACTCTCCCTTCGCCGACGCGCCAGCCGAGTTTCCCCGCAGCTGCCTCCACGAGAAGCCCTTCTGGGGCGCAGGCTCAGTGTCAAATAACGCAGGCAGTCGCCGGACTCCGTGAGTGCTCTACTGTACTACCAGCGACCGCCATCTTCGCGCCGCTGCTCCAAATCCGACGCCGCTTTCCCCGATCACTTCGCTCACCGACTTTCCCCTCGAGACGAAACCGCTTCCCTCTTTTCCTTCGTTTTTTCTTCAAGTCTCGCTTCACCCAAGAAACATAAAGCCCATTCCCAAAGGACACTCAAGAAACCGACAAAGATAATCGAGTCCCATCGCTCGAGAAAGAGGAGGAGAAAATAGCCTGAGCGATCCCAAAGACAGTAGGAAACGCACGATCGCCACTGAAAAATTTCCCAGGACACGGAAGTCGCGGTCTTCGTTACGGTCACGTGACTTCGCAACGACCAATGAGAGCCGAGCTTATGGTTACACTGTGTGAAAGAAGACGAAAGGATATTTAAATGTATTTGTAAGGATTTTAGGATTAACGGAATTGTTAAACAATCTCAAGATCCAAAGAGGTAAGCGAGACGTCACTGTCAAAAAAAAAAAAAAAAAAAATCCTTCGAAGACAGAAGGAAAGAAAAGGAAAAGGAAAAGAGAGAGAAAGAGAAAGAGAGAGAGAGAAAGAGAAAGAGAGAGAGAGAAAGAGAAAGAGAAAGAGAAAGAGAAAGAGAAAGAGAAAGAGAAAGAGAAAGAGAAAGAGAAAGAGAAAAAGAGCTCGCTCGCTCTCTCTGCGATAAAGAGAGGGAGAAAGAGAGAGAGAGAGAGAGAGAGAGAGAGAGAGAGGGAGAGAGAGAGAGAGAGAGAGAGAGAGAGAGAGAGAGAGAGAGAGAGAGAGAGAGAGAGAGAGAGAGAGGGAGAGAGAGAGAGAGAGAGAGAGCGAGCGAAAGAGAAAGAGAGAGAGAGAGAGAGAGAGCGAGCGAGCGAGCGAAAGAGAGAGCGAGCGAGCGAGCGAAAGAGAGAGAGAGAGAGAGAGTGAGAGACGGAAAACACATGAGGAAAACAGACAAGAACATTTAAGTACCTCCCTCTACCTAATTGAGGAAGAAACTCCGTCGCATGTAAAACACTTCATTACGTACTTCATCACACATAATTTCATCACAATAAGAAGGAAAATCATCATAGAAAAAAAAGGAAAATAAAGTAGGGGGTAGAGGGAGAAGGGGTGGGGGGATGAGGAGGGGGAGATGGGGGGAAGGAGAGGAGAAGAGGAAGAGAGAGAGGAGGAAGAGGAGGAGGAAGAGGAGGAAGAGGAGGAAGAGGAGGAGGGAGAGGAGGAGAGAGAGGAGGAAGAGGAGGAGGAAGAGGAGGAGGGAGAGGAGGAGGAAGAGGAGGAAAGAGAGGAGGAAGAGGAGGAGGGAGAGGAGGAAGAGGAGGAGGAAGAGGAGGAGGGAGAGGAGGAGAGAGAGGAGGAAGAGGAGGGAGAGGAGGAAGAGGAGGAGGAGGAGGAGGAGGGAGAGGAGGAAAGAGAGGAGGAAGAGGAAGAGAGAGAGGAGGGAGAGGAGGAGAGAGAGGAGGGAGAGGAGGAGAGAGAGGAGGAAGAGGAGGGAGAGGAAGAAGAGGAGGAGGAGGAGGAGGAGGGAGAGGAGGAAGAGGAGGAGGAAGAGGAGGAGGGAGAGGAGGAGAGAGAGGAGGAAGAGGAGGGAGAGGAGGAAGAGGAGGAGGAAGAGGAGGAGGGAGAGGAGGAAAGAGAGGAGGAAGAGGAAGAGAGAGAGGAGAGAGAGGAGGAGAGAGAGGAGGGAGAGGAGGAGAGAGAGGAGGAAGAGGAGGAGGGAGAGGAGGAAGAGGAGGAGGGAGAGGAGTAGGAGAAGGAGGAGGGGGAGGGGGAGGAGGAGGAATGATAATAATAATAATAATAGGAGGAAGAAGAAGAAGAGGAGGAGAAAGAAGAGGAGAAGGATGAAAAAGAAAATGAGGAGGAGGAGGAAGAAGTAGAAGAAGGAGTATAATAATGATGATGATGATGATAATGATAATAATAATAATAATAATAATA